AGAAGATTGCCACAGTTGTTTACTTTCAGAACGGACAGCTGTGTCTTATTACTAATTTTTGTTACTTCAGCTTCCAATCATGGATCGCTTTGTACCCTTTCCTGCTAAAGAGCTGTTAGAAAGCTCCTCACTGTGTAAATACTTGTAGTCTGTGATCAGGTCACAACTCATCTTTCTCTTAGATCAACTTAAAGAGGTTTTTAAGCCTGTTTCTCAGACATGTAATCATTCTCTTAGCTCTTTCCAGACCTTTTCCTATTTTCCAAATTGTTTTTTGAAGCATAAGCACCAAAATTGGACACAGTAGTGTGTGAACAACGGTTACTGGTGCCGATATTTTTCTCCATTTTTATCCAAGAATACTGTTCGCTCCTACTGCCTATTTTGAAATACTCATTTCTTTTCATTGTTGTTGTCATGCTGTTGCTGTGTATGATAACGTTTGGGGGTCCAGTTTTGGCTACACTGAAATAAACGTTCAGATGAGTCATCTTTAAAAATTGATTTGTCTTCATTCCTATCAATATTCTATCAGATCTCATTTCATTTTCAAACTTTACCAGTAGTGCTGTCTTATTTTCTTCCAGATCATTGTTTAATGCCAATGCTGAGTCTAGATTCTATTGGACTCCACTCAAAAACAACTTCCTTGGCTTCCTAACATTTCTGTATCTCTTGTGAGATGTTAGCTACAAGTTTAATTCAGTTATTAGTTCAGTTATCACACTTCTGAACTGTTATTATTTTTTAGTTTGTCTGAAACATGAACTTTAGAAGAAGGCCTATTTATTTGTATTATCCTTTTTAATGTCAGTTCAACTTTACAGAGCCTAGCTGATCTGTTAACTATTTAAAATATTTAAATACAGTATTTCCTGATTTGCTAAAATACACTGTCCAGTGCATATCGCTGCCTTTGAGGTTTACCATCAAAATACTAAACAGTTTCTGAAATAGCATTTATGATAGTAACGTTGTCCGTTTGTGAACTGAATAGTAAATGTGTAATTTATCTTGTGGTTCATTAACTCCAAAATTGTTTAGTTTTTTTTTTTCTCCCTAAAATGCATTTTTTAGTTAGTATGTATGTGCTTACTTTATCTGTGGGAATCGTTTCCTATTACATGAAGAGACAAGAACATCTGCAGTGTTGTCGTTATTCACTTAACACAGTACAAATGAAGTCATTTGCAAATATGATGATAATGTTTTTTGCCATGGGGGCCATTAATTGTAGCTATTCTTTACAAAAATCTTATGATTAGAGAAAACTTGTTGCTTGGGCAATACACCTTAAATATGGCTTAAAAGGTTTTAAGTCGTAGAATC